GTGTATACGAAGTAAATGACAAAAAAGTACTATAAACATATTACTTCTCACATTTCAGTAATAGATAAGTGCAGTGATAAACATTTGATGTTAATGTTAATCAATAACGTAGAAGAAAAATAACTTATCTGCTAGTAGGTAAAAGGCATGATTTCGCTATTATTAATATTAAAGTAAACCTATGGTTTCTTAGGGTAGCGATAAAAGCGGACAGAAGCTAAACTTTGTTTGATATGGATATAAAAAATATGTTCATATACATACAGCAAATAACCCTTGAGTTTTTTGAAATTAGCTAATCTTATGGAGATTTAGTTCTAGGTTATTGAGAACTGTACAGTAGATATATCCACACCTTGTGCGAAAAAAGGGTAGAACATGTTCAAAAATCATAATTTAATCAAAAATTAAACACAATTTGACTTTATATATATCTACAAGCATATGCTCAGAGTAAATTTTACCAACTACAAATACACTTTAAAAAGTTTAGAGAGCTAAGCATTCATTTTTCTTTAATCCTTATAAGCATGAAACATTCTAATTGAGTTGAACAATTTTGTATAAGAATAAGCACCACAAACAACCAGGGATAACCCTTCAAATGTCACAAGCATGATATTACATTCCAGTGGGTAACGGGCTAAGATATTGCGCTTCATGCACTCTGATGTAGTCCCTGAGTGGGCAACTGAATGTGAATGTGTATGAGTGCATCTTCAGTTGTAAAAACTTTCAAGAAGAACTAGTTCATCGCTCACTTTTTGAGGACTTTGAAGTTCTCAGAATTGTTAGGTATACCAAGATGCAGGCCTTCACACGTTCAGTGCTAGAGACGAGATTTAATGATTTTATCCATAAGAAAGAAAGACTGCTTGAACAAAAAGAAGAGTGGGAGACGTCAGTTGGATGTTTTGTGTATTTTCAATAAGGTAAGGCAGTAAGGTTATGTGAGCTGGACCCAGTTTGCACTATGCATGCCGTCAAGAGCCTTCTTTACTAATGAAATCAGACCAGCCGCAATCTGCAAGTTTTCGTAAAATTCGCTGGTGGCTTTTAGATATGCGGCAGGAGCTTTAAGATCTGTTTAGGAAGGGAGAAGGGAGGGGGAGGAGGAAGAGGGGAGGAGGTTGATCTTGTTTCAGTAAAAGAAGAAATTGTCAAAAAAGATTAACAACGTAATAAGATTGTGTGGACCAAAATTTCAAGTGACATTGATATTTTTTATAAATATTATCACCATTCACTTTCAAAGGATTACCTTCAATATTCATCCATGATTTTTCTGTGCATGTACTAAGACAATAATAACTATTCTATTCTGAAAATTGAGTCTGTGGGTCCACGGAACTCTCAACTAATTTCAATGAAATATCTGTCTAGAAAGCCTAGGAAGATGAGAAACTTTGCATAGAAGTATTTTCTATTACATGAAAGTGACATTTAGCAAATAATACCGCAAATGAGTATTTCCTTACTCATGTGAAGCTGGAGAAATTGACAAAAACAGTAATTTGATCAGGTAAAAAATAGTAAGAGAATGAGAGATCTGTGAGACAATTGATGTTAGGAATGAGCATTTGTATTCCTAGTTTGTTGTAGGTGTATGTTTA